CAGTAGCCCATTGCGTGTTTTTTTTCTTTCTTTCCTTTCCTTTCGCATTCTTTTTATCTGACAACGAGAGTAACGAGACGTCGTGACAAATTTATGGATGGCGTACCAGAGACAAAAGAACTTGCCATCCATGAACAAAACAAAGCAAAATCCACTCCAAAAATTCATAGAGTCGTCGAAGAAACTGTCTTACAATTGCAGAGTTCGAAGTAATGGTGATCTACATCGCTTTTTAACATTAAAATGTCTTCTGATTCGGATTTTAACGTCCTCGCGACTTTAGCTTTTAATTAAACAATCGCGTGACGTGCGTTTTAAATTCAGAGTCCCGGAATTCGCGGTGACGAAAAGGAGCCCTGCGATGCCGGAGCTTTGGCTTCGAGGAAGAGTCGTAAGAAGAATGCAGTCTTGTCGTCGAGTTACTGACGTACGGTACATCGGCTCGGGTATCTCAACTTTTTCTCCCCACGAAACCACGTGTCTGACCAGCGAGCGTCAATTACACGAAGCTGATTTCGATAACAACCGAGCGACCTAACCGAACGAGAACGCTCACTAAACGTGGCCGATTCTCGATTCGGAATTTCAATTATCTTCTATAACATATGATTTAATCTTCGATGGAAAATCATACAGGCTTATGATATTATAATTAAATATAACAGGCACATATAATTAAATATGATTTTAAATATATCTGAAGTCTCGAGAGACAAGATAAAATTTCGCGAAACGGAAAATCTCCATTTCGCAATGTGCCAATGAATGTTGTATAACGCGAAATATGATTGAGTTACTTTGAAGACGCTTACGCAATGTGTTTACGTATTGTAGTGCGGAATTTATGGAATGGACAAATTAGAATGATGAAGTGACTAAAAAAGGAAAGACAGCTGATCGAGATCTTGATCCGTAGGCGCGACTCTCCTCTCGCCGCGTAACGCAGTTATTGTTATCTGCTGTATTAGTTTTATCTAAGCACTTTTATAAGAAAACAAACACCGTTTACAATTTAATTTTATGACTGATAAACGTTCTCTCTTATAAAAGGGCAACATACCGAAATATATTGTTAGATACGAGTATACAATGTTACGTCCGATTTAATAATTAGCTTCTATATTTAACCGAATTTCTCAACTCATATTGTCACCATTTATTTTAAATATTCTTTGTTATGTAAAAATCTTTCGATATCTATAATCGGCCATATGGTATTTTATCGCTTCTTTTGCTGTCAGGCAAAGGGCAGACGTTCTATACCTGAATGTTTTATACTTCCTTCGTTCCATTTTCTGAACATTGTCCTTTCCGCTTCAAAATTATCTCGACCACTTCGTTCATTGACTGCGTTCAGCAGAAAAAGCAGCTTTCTAACTGTTGTAAAATTTTTGAATATGATTGGTTTATACATTTACATGTAGTGAGGAGCAAGATTAATTATATTAAAGAATTTTACAACATTTGCAAAGCTGCTTTTTCTGCTGAACGCAGCTATTGTATCTATATATAATCTGGACAAACATAAACAATACAAAAACAATTTTTGCTTTTTCCATCAGACGCACCAAAATGGTCTAAAAATTATAGACGTGCTTTTAAGATTAAAATTTAATTAAAATTAGATTAATTAAATATAATAATAAACATAATAATAAGCATAAAATTCATACAAGTTAAAATTCGCATATTTTAATATAAAATGTAAATCACAGTGCTTTTTTATTATGTTAGAAATATGTAAATTTTATTCAAGTGATACGGTGATTTCATTCTTATAACAAGTTCAATATAGATTCATTGTATTGTTCAGTTCGTTTTCAAGTAACTGCTTCAGAGATTTTCATACAATACAGAATTTGTTTCCCAGATTACAACGATACAATCGAACATATGATTTAGACTTATTTACCTTTCGTTTCTCAGGTATAAATGAAGTGTTAAAAAAGAACATCCATTTTGCCAAAATCGGTCAGGTCCTCCAGTTTGAGGACGATCTTCCGACCGTGTGATTAAGTGTTTCTATTATTACTAAATTCTCTCAACATCGCGTACCCTCTAAATGAATCTCTCTTTTTTTACAATGCCCCGCACACTCGACTGAAAATCGTTCAAGTACGCGTGACCCATTGCGACACGTCGGTTTGTGGCTACGTGCACTCCGGGACACCCGGTGTATTTACATAAGACTCAGCCACACATAGGCCGGTAATACGCGTCGGTCCGGTTCGGAATCGTCGAGTGGCGAGATGCGGCGAGAACCTGCATGGCCACGCTAACCTGTTGGATCCAGCGCGGCGGAGGCAAAAAAAGGTAAGAGGACCAGTCAACAAAAGATATGGCTGCCGGAGTTTTCTACCTGGCTCTGCTTCGTATCTAATATCTGACGCCCTTTTCCCTTAAAAATCGATTATTTCCCGGATGCTCTCAAATTTGAATAATTATTAGATTTAAACTTATACTGTAAACTAAACGGAATTAATATTCACACGGAAAGAACGATTTTGCTAAAATATTAAAAAATTTAACTAAATACACAGATCTGAAAATAATTTTGTTGAATCATCAAATATTTATATAGAAATCTCAAGCATGATGAGCAATGCTCTGCAGAAAGTTTTGACATTCTAGTAACCAAGTTGAGTCTCCTACATTTTTACTACATAATTATTTTAATGATCCAACAAAATTATTTTCAGATCTGTATCTAGCTACAATTTTAAATACTTCAGCGAAATCGTCCTTTCAGTCCATCAATGTTGTTAGAACGAGATCTAATTAATTATGACAAGATTAATTATTGAATATCAAAAACAAATTACTAATCTTCGACGTTTCTAAAATAATTATCGCGAACAACAAATTGAATTGATGTTAATTTTTTTCAGCGACGTCCATTCGCGATTCATCCCTCGAGACTCACGGCGATTTCGCGGAAACGCGATTGAATAATGCATTTGCACTCGTTACTTCGCGTCATAACGTATTCATGAGTCACGACGATCCCCCTTCATGCGAAGAGCTCGGCGTTATTGGGATAAATATTTTACTTAGACCGGATAAGGATAAATGTAATTCTCTCTGCAAAAGACAATCGTCTTACACGAACAAAAATCAGAAAGTCATAAAAGAATCATTTTCAAAGTCAAAATGAGATTTTCTCGGAAATAGAAAATGCCGTTTGCCTGCGCAAAATAATTGGATTAAGTAAAAATGCCATCACGAGCTAAATAAACATACGGCCGTTCAAAATGTGTACCTCTTAAAAACCTTTAAACGTTTCTTTGAGTCGATATACATAAAACTGTAATCTTCATTGAATTTCTTCGTTTGGAGTTGATTTTGTATTAAAGCCGCGTTTCGACGAATTGATTTATTTATCGAAATATGCAGTGCACCCGATGAATGAAAAGAAGAATATCAGTGAAAATACTAGGGAGATTACCATTATCGTACTCGAGAGGAGAATGGGCGTCACACTAGAGATACAAGTTATTCTTTATCGTACAGCCGTCAGGTAAACAGTGCGTTGAAATTGTCCTCTCACCGGAAGCGTTTCCTCGCTACGTTTGTTCGGCAATTTTATACCGCCATTCTCCATGCCGAGCGAAAATTTATTTCGCGAAAGCAAACAAATTCCCGCGAACAAAAGCAGCGGTGAAGAAATTGCGTCTGTTTCTCCCTCTTTCTCTTTCTTTTCCTCGTTTCTTTCTTTGGGTTTATTTCTCAAATTTGCGTATGTACGAGTATGTACAAAATGTAATTGAAAAGAGTATCGAATGCAGATGAACAATTAAAAAAGTTGTTAAAATATAGATACAGTAAAATTTTACATACAAGCTTTATATGAGAAAGTCTTAAGCTATACTTATTCTATCTTTTGACTCATCTTTCCCACCGGCTTTTCCGATTGTATCAACAATAACGAACGGACCACCCATCGGTATACGGATGGATATGGGAACCGGCTCGTTCAATCGATCGAAATTGGCTAATTCAACGAGGATAAAACCGTTCTGCATCGGCTTGGCTAATTGCTGATGTTGTGCCGATGCAAAGGCGATCGATGTTTTCAGCCTCGTAAAATTAACCGGTTTATCAGAAAAATCGTTAATTGATGGTCAAAGTGATAAAAGGTGAAATTTTTTGTTAATTAGTTTTTTTTTAAAAGAATTGAGAAATGCAAAATCCCTTATTATCAATTATTTTTCTGTTTAAAAAAAAGACATTAATGATCAAATATTAAAATAAAATAAATCTTATATGAACATTATGTTTTATCACTTATAATCCCCCAAATTAATATTTATACGATTCACTTGATAAAAATAATTACATATTCACAAATTATTAATGTTTAATTATTGATTTCTCTTTTAAATTTAAGATTTAACCATTTTTTATTTTCAAATATGCATATAATATATTACTAATATATAATTGATATATCGTATGGCTCTCAAATAAATATTTAAGCAAATAAAAGAAATTTTAAGAAGAAATTGGTTTAGAAATGACTGCACCTATTTCGATCTGTCACAACTGCACGCGGCATGTCCAACTAATTTCGCAACCACGCGATTCTATTTCTTGTTTCTTTGAATAAGGTATTATCTAGAAGCGTGAATTTTCGGTAAATTATTTCTTTGATCTCCCTCGCAACGAACATTCGGTTCACATTGCCTACAAAATCCCCAAGTGACAACATCGCTCTGTTTTAACAAGCGTACACAATGCATGCGCGCCATTTTGCCGGGCACTTCAAAATTGCAGTTGTCGCCTCGCGCTACCGACAAGTTCAAATTCCACCTGTTCCACGCATCGACACGTGTCATGTACACATTCAAATACGAACGCGAGAAAAATCAGAGTCCAGCGGTTATATTTTAAAGTGGAAGTCGGGAGGTAGCGCGACGAAAGGAAGTGGGGAAGAAAAAAAAAGGTGAAGAGAGGAGAAATATAGAGAGAGAGAGAAATGTGTGACTTGGTAGAGTACTCACCGAGATCTTCCACAAGGCGCAGCATAACACCGCCGATATGCAGCTCTCCCTTCACGCGTAAACTTCTTTCGACCTGCAGATCCGTCACGTAGACGCGCAGCACCCAGCTGCCGTCCACCTCGTGGCCGTCGGAGTACATGCCGGACGCAATTTCTCTCTTCTCTTTTTTTCCTCTTTTCTCCTTTCTCTCTTCTTCCTCTTCTTCGCCGAACGGCGATGTCAACGCGGCAGACAGGAGGGAACGAGAAATCGGTCGGTCGGCGAAGAGGTCCGGTTTCGCACACGCACACGATACACTAACCGGCGCGTTATCCGATCGCGCGCGGTCGTTCCTCGTAACTTAACGAGAGTCTCGCGCGCGGTTCAACGTCTGGCGAACATGTCACACCGTGAGTATCGTCCGGGCTCGGCGACGACGAGTACGACGACCCGACGACCGCCACACGCAACGCACTACTGCCGCGCGACGACTGGTCTTCCTCGCTGGCCTTCCTGCCCCACCGGATTCGCCGCCGCTGGACGCACGCATACACGAATACACACGCGTGCGTAATCGAGTGGAAACGAAACGGCGGAACCGAGAGGACCAAGGCACTGTGTGCGCGCGAACCCACCACCACCTTCGTTCGCTTGGACCCGAGTGAAGTCGGGCGCAGGAAAGCCGAACGCGGCTACGCGACGGGCAACGTCGCGTCGGTCATCTTCGACGTCACTCGGCCGCGCTCGGCTCCGCGCCGCGTTCGTATGTACGTTCTCTCGAACCAAACGGTTACGTGCTCGCTGTTGTAGCGAGAATATTTGGCCCGATTTGGAGACGGCGACGTGAGAAAGCGGATATTAATGAAACGACCGAATGACGAACACTGCGACCAAAAGCGAGCGACTTCGTGATGCACCTCCCCGTATTCCTGTTTCTACACATTTTCATGAACGTTTAATTATAAGTATATTTAAATTTATTCAGATATTATTCTAGTGTTCAAATAATAATTGGAAAATTCAAAATGATGATATTTCTAAGCCGATCGGATGAGGGAGGATCAGTTTTCGAACAAAGGATAACGCGAACCGATAATTCACTTAAGCAAACTGAAGTGAGCGGTTTTCTTCGTTGCACAAATGTTCCAACGTCGAGAACTTAGCTCACAAAATTCAAATTCGCGGCCTACTTCAGTATAATCTTTTCCAGAAGTCGCTAAATTTCAATTGGATTTGAGTAATTTCTTACCAAAATGCTTTCCCGGTAATTTTTATTTTTTTTCCATGATCTCGTGCATTTTAACTTTCACGTTATTTCTTGTTATTAAGATATATATATATATAGTACGTATTTTTTATATATACACATCTTTGTCTTACGTAGAACTTTTTTTTACAAAAATTGATTCTCTACATTATTTCGCATATAAATTATTAAAGCGAGATTATCGAGAAACGAACAATTTATGATGTCTCATTTATCTTTTTACAATCAAATAATATATTACATATCCAATATATGATATTTCCAAATATTTTTACTTTTCGATATAACCTCATTTTAATATTTAAATTAATAAATTGTTCAAAAATATAAAATTAGTAGGATTTAAACAAAAAACGGGATTGTATGAAATATTTAATTTCTTTACATGAAACTTTTAAAAGAATTCGTAAAAGTAGTTATAGGAAATATGCAGGAGCAATATTAAAATGATAGTGTTGAATTGAAATTAATTTTGGTTTAAATACAATAAAGCGGGTACTACGGAAAATTCTCTCTAAAGGAAAATAGACGACCTTTGTAAAATACCTCAACTGACTTTATTTTCATAATCTACATTCATAGTACTGTAATGAATGAATATACATTCATCCATTTTGTCCAGGGTGAAAAGTGCACGGCACTGAAAAACCGCGTTCGTGTGAGTTCCCCCTTGCGACGAATAATCTCTTCATCCCATTTCGATAGAGAATAAATCGTGGGCAGCGTCATCTAACTAAGTTTCGCTAATCTATTACAAATGCTTTGAATTGTCTAGAATTCATAAAAATATTCACTCTCATGCTAAGCATTTACATTGAGGATAAATAGTCGAGTTTAACGCGCCACGCCCTGTGAAGAACACTTTTCACCTGGGACGCAGAAAAACGATACTTACGCTGTGTTTTGCCGTGCAATAAACGATCGTTTCTACCTAAGAGTACAAGGAAAGAATACTGCGTTTCGTCATGTCACACGCTATACTTCACATCGCGTTTTCTCTTTCTCTCTCGCTCTTTGCGGTAAAAAAAATAGTTGGTATTAGGCGCTGCCTCGTTTAACACCGCCTCTTTTTTCTTTCTTCTTTACATCGCGGATATTACGTGTCGGACTGAAACGTATTTAAGGTCACAGCACACCTGGAGGGAATTGAACTTGCAGTCGCTTTACAGTCCGTAAATTCTTTGGTACTTAACACTTTTCAATGTTGTACTCTTAGATACCGCTAATGCGCTGCACAAGTTACTGAATCACAAAACAGAGGCATGCGCGACCCGATTCATTAATTAAAAAAAAAGAAAGAGTCGATAACTGTTAAAAACAATTATATTATAAACATATGAAGATCAGAGATGTACGATTAGTTAAAAATATTATCGTTCAACTTCTATTGCACTGACTGATTTTGTTATCGGTAACGTCGATAGCTTAGTCTGGTTAACAATTTCTCCATTTCTGTATCACAGCCTTCTATCGCCGTAATAAAGAAAGAAACTTTAACCGACAGTTTAGCAATTAGCGCTAAAATAATATCGATGCAACCGATGGCTATTCCCGTCAGTTTTCGCGTGCGTATGTGATCGACGTTCGAGAACTGTGAGCTCGAATCCGACGATCCGTCTATGTTTTTTTTTGCGCAAGCAAAGACAAGTATCACGGGTGTCAGCGAGTAAGCGGAGTCTTATGAAAAAAAAAAACGAAGATGAGGTAACGTTAGTTCGCATGTCTGCGCTATGACGCCGATCGTACTTTGCCGATCGCATTTCGAGAAACGGTGCTGTAGATCGGACTCATCGAGCATAATTCATCGTCGATAACATTAATAGTCCTCCATGTTAGATAATAATAAACATTCAACATATGTAGCAGCCGACGTCGCCATTGTCATGACATTTTGGGATGTCGTAAAATCTATTTTAACATCGTTCCTTGCGCGCATATTCGTCTCGTGCACAATTGTGCAAGTACAGAATATTGTACTCGCGAAAGTTATTCGCGCAATATCACATCCCCTTCGATGTCTCAAACAGGATGATCTTTTTTTAAACATCTTCGGGATTACGGCTGCTCGCGTGATTCTCACACGTTTAATTGTTTGAAGTAGTATCTGCAGTACACTGACATCATCGTCGGCGGAGCATCAATTTTATGCAATAACTTCTCATCGTTCTCGGAAAATTTCTCCAGCGATAAACTGTATTCCCTGTCGAAGACGCCTGTAAGAATAAGAATCGTTATTAGACAAACTAATATCATAATCAAACTTGATAAATATTTCAATAATTGGATTAATCATTTTAGAAATATTTTGTATAAATTTGTAACAAATTTTGTATAAAGTGAAGATTGTAATATTTTAATCACGTACACATATATAACCTCACCTTGATCAATATTCGTTCTTCCTAATACAGTAAATGCCAGAAACAAAATATCCCTGTATATAGAAAACGGATGATCGCCTGTTTGATGTTTACTTCTTTCTAAGGCCACTCTTAATATAGGTTCCGCTAAGTCGTTGCAACGGACATATGTTATCACTGTCTGCATCAATCTAGAGTAAGAAAAAAATTAGCAACTATAACTATTCATATATCTATTTGTTCAAAGAACAAATAAACCTGATCATTTCCCAATTCAGATAATCGTTAATTCTTTTACAATATCTATTTACACTTGAAATTTAAATATCAATGTGATGATTTGAAAAATTATTTATTGCAACTTACGTCCTGTCTTCTGTGGAATTTGATTTCCATTGGAGATACATAGGTAAACGATCCATATGGAGTCGTTCGTTGTCCCACATGGTTCTAACACCCACCAATCCTACAGTTCTTTGAAGTTTTGAGTTCTTATCGTTATCCAACCAGAGATCAGGTAGATGACTCGTTAAATTAATTCTTTCAAAGTACCATATTAGATTCCAATATATTATTGGATGTTCTTGAATAAACCTGTGCTTAGTGAGACACGCGTCCCCCTCTTGACTCAGCACACTTTCTAATTCTTTTCTCAAAACTAATGGATTTAGGTATGGTGCGGTTATCGGTTTCAACGATTCTTTCGGTTGATCCAATAATTCTACCAGTGCTCCCATTAAAGGATCACTATTCTTCTCACTTACTTCGGATCTACATGAGGCAAATATTAAATAAATCTTAATGATAACTCTTTATCAAGGATGATATTACTTACGTTACGATCGCTTAGTCACCTGTAATCTAATATCGTAGCTGTGAGGAGGGGTACGGTAGCTTTGTCGCAGTATTGACAGACTGTATTTAAGTTGGAATCTTCCGGCTGCCAACCAGCCATTATTTCCTCATCATACAGGATGGCAGCGCAATTATGGCATCTACTGGCACTGGAAAGTACAAGCTCAATAGCAAGACGTTCCTCTAACTCTCTAGTGCCTTTTGGATACAGACACTCCGCGAGTTCGTACAGTGGACACAAATCTAAATTTCCATCACCTAATTGAAAAAAAGAGATTAATATTATTGTGTAACATAAATATATGATATTTATCATTATCATAATTTATATTCTATACCAGATGCCCTTGTTTCGTTTCGATCTTGTATGGAATCAGTGAGAGAATCTAGAGATTCATGCGATACTCCGTAAGCTATTTTTTGTTCACGTTCCTTATTTTTCACTGGCGTACTTGTCGCTGAAATGGCTTCCTTTATTTCGTCAAATTTTTTAACCACAGTCGTTGCAGCGGACTTTAAGCTATTCAAACCACCAAGTATTATTTCGTTTGACTTTTTTCCTGTTAAACTCGACGGGCTAAAATAAGAATTAATAGAAACATAGAATCTGGAATTTGCAGAAGAAATATCTTACATATTAAAAATATGTATTTAGTATTTTGTAATAATGTAGAGGCA